GTTGTTCGGCTAATAATTTACTGAAGCTGGTTAGGTAGGTTATGTGCTGTTTTCCTTTGTCTCGCTTGCCTTCAGTGTGCCTTGTGAGTGTTAAAGTTTGTAAGCCTTCTTTCCTCATTATGTGCCCTAGAAATTTCAACTGTCTGTTTCTGATATTAAGTATAAGTGTCTTTTTTTTTCATTTTCTCTAAAATTTCGTTATTGCTCACATGTTTAGTCTATGATATTCTCAGAATCCTTCTTTAGAAGCATGTTTCTATTGCTTCAAGTATTAAAAGCTAGAAAGGGTAGGAAATTGTGGAAAGCCATGATCGCCCACGTCCTGAACGGACATGGTACAGAGAAAAGAAGACGCAACTCTCTCAGCTACAAGGTAGGTGTTAGTAATATTAATTTATATTAATATTATTATTGATGCTTAGCTTAGTCTGGTACAAGACTACATGCCTGGAGCGCCTAAAGAGTATCGATGTCAATTCTAGGCTAGCTAGAAGTTATACTACGACAGGGTGATTTACATATTTATTATGTAGAACTTATTACGGCGAAAACATTGGTAAACGTTAGAGAAATTGAATTACACCAGTCTTGTAAGTGCAGAGGTGCCATCCCTCTAGAAAGACTGCATTGAAAAGAATGACTTTTTAGCCGGTCTCGAACACTGTCCGCTGGCACCTGAAAGAAACACACAACTTCCTCAAAAACAAGTCAGGCCCCAATATTCATAGTACAGGAGAAATGAGTCCTAGTTTTCATTTGTGGCCTAATGCTCCATCAATATGGAGCATTAGGCCACAAACGCCCCACGTTAGTATTGCTTCTGTGGCTACTTTAGCAAGTAGATTTTTACGGGATGAAGTTGCTAGCATGACGCCTAACTGATTTTTAATTTAAGGTTATCTTTTTCTTAGACTGGTTGCCAGCCAAGGCTAAATATCCTAGTCTACTCTGATTAACCCATTGTTAAGGCGAGGAGAAAAATGGATTTATGACTTTCTCAAGGGTATTTGTATGAAAGTAAACGAACGAATGGATGCACGGTGGAGTAGTGGATAGCGGATCGGAGAGCAGAGTTCGAATTCCAGTCGAATCCATTACATTCACTTACGTGCAAATACCCTTGGGAGAGATATTAATCCTCTTCTTCTCCCTCTAGCTATGGGTAAATAGCAGGACAGACTGGGTTCTATAGCCTTGGATGGCAATTGGTCTAGAAGAAGGACAGCTCTGAATTCAAAACCGGCGGATAGTCGTTTGGGGACCTTGTGGCACGTAGTGCACCAGATGTCTGTATTCGGCCCTTCAAAAAGTGTTGTTGGTTCTGCACAAAGCCTTCACAATTATAATCAAATCATATGTGCTGGTGTCTGGGCTGTCGGTTACTTGGAACTGAGCTGCTTGACCTTCATACGTCGAATACGACGGGAGAGTCCACCAAACTTAACGAACTAGGTCGGAATTTAAATTCGGCAGGCCGATATTATTTTATTCCTCGTTAATCGCACATCTTTGTTGTACATATTCTTGTTAATATAAGGAGATTTCTTTCTTAACATCGTGATAGAGATGGCACTAAAAATGGTGATAATGATGATACAGGAAATATTTCAGATTGTTTCAATCTGATTCTTATGGAATCAAGACCAGAGATGAATGTACGGACCTTAGAGTCGCGACCTTCAGATGTTAGATCGGGACTATATTTAGTGCTGAGCTGATGAATTGCTGACAATGTGTCAGCACCAGGCTAAAAACCTGGCTTGTCCGTTATGTCGAGAAGATCTGTTATTTGTAGACGACAGAAGACGTCATGGTTGTGAAATATTACGGCGGGAAATAGAGAAAAGAGAGGAAAAATAGAAATAAAGAAATCAAAGTTGGAAAGATTTGAGAGAAAAGGAGAAAGAAAGCAAAAGTGAATAGAAACAGAAGGGGAAATTATAAGAATTGAGCAGCGAGAGTAAAAATAAAAAAGTGCACGTTGCAAAGTGTGTGTGTGTAAGTGTGTGTGTGTGTGTGTGTGAGAGAGAGAGAGAGAGAAAGAAATAGAGAGAAGGAAAGAGGAAGAGAAAAAAGATAAAATAAATGAATGAGAAGTTGAGAGAGAAAGCGAAGGGAAATTATAAGAATTGAGTAGTGAAAGTTAAAAAAGAGCACATTTCAGAGAGTGTGTGTGAGAGAGAGAGAGAGAGGAGATGGGGAGTGTAAGAGGAAGAGAGAAAAGAAGAGATAAAGGAAATGAGAGGGAGGGTGAGAGAGAAAATGGAGGGAAAAAGAAGAATTGAGTAGCGAGAGTAAAATGAAAAGAGTGAATGTTTATGAGAGAGAGAGGAAAAATAGTGGGACAGAATAAATAGAAGATTTATGAGCGCGAGAATCAGAGAGAGAGAGAGAGAGAGAGAAAGACAGAGAAAGACAGAGAAAGAGAAAGAAAGCGAGACGGGGGATGGAAAAGATTAGATAGATGAGATAAAAGAGAGAGAGAGAGAGAGAGAGAGAGAGAGAGAGAGAGAGAGTGGCGGGAAATAGAAGAAGAAATTATAAGAATTTGATACTGAGAATAAAAAGGGGAAAATAGAGAGTATAAGACCTTTTCAAAGATAGAAAGACAGACAGAGAGAGAGAGAGAGAGAGAGAGAGAGAGAGAGAGAGAGAGGGAAATTATAAGAATTGAAAAAAGTGAAAATTGAAAATATAATGGGTAATGGATAGCGGCTCGCATTGAGGAATTGGAGAGCCGAATTCGAATTCCAGTCGAGTTCATTATATTCACTTACGTGCTAATAAAGAAAGGCATGAATCCAAAACTTCTCGCGCCCGCCAGCTATGGGTAAATGTTTGACAAAGCTGGTTGCATCGGACTGTCGGGTGCTTGGTCTATCAAAAATCTACCTTGGTTACGCAAGCCCGATTGGCGCTGCCCTTTTTCTCCGGTTTGGTTTGGTCGTTGAGATGAAACCGGCGGACGAGAGCAGCGCCAAGTGTGTGTTCTCCGTCGCACCGAGTTGTCCATCAAAATCAAATTCACGCGAATGGCCTCGTCAAACTCTCCTTGATTACATGTCAGGAGTAGGCTGGGTTTTTACAGAGAGGAGAAAGGGAAATAAGGAGAGAAGATTGCGATCCCGACGCTCGAATGCGAGCGGATGCCAACTATGAGCAAACAGCAAGACAAACTGGGCCCTATAGCCTTGGTTTGCAACCAATCTAGAAGGAGGAAAAGGTCTGGAGAAGGTTGAGCTCCGTTAGGCTATCTGCAGTACATTTAGTGCCCCTATGGCTACTAATAGGGTTACGAGGCTTTAGTTCTACGGTGTGGCGTAAAAGATAACAGAATGGGAAATTGTAGAATCGAGATCGGGTTCGTTACATTCACATACGCGCAAATATCATTGGGAAACGTATGAATCTATGTCTTCTCCCTCCATCTATGTGTTGAATAGCTTTGGTTGGCAACCAGTTTATTGCAGAAAGAAACGGCAACTTACTGCGGGAAAATCTTCCGCCTAGTCAGTCACGAATGGCAAGAGCTATGAACACGAAGAGGAAACATATATTGAAAACACTTTCAAACATCTCCAGTATCGTAATTATTTTATATTCCATGCGAAACAAAAGGCTCATAAAATATTTAAAAACAAAAAAAACAATGCCCCCTCCCCTCCTGAGAAACCCAATGAATCAAAAAATATATTATCTTGCCGACTAATTCTATCAAATCTACAATCGAAAAGAATCTATCTAAACTCACTATAAAATTTTCTACTACTACGTCCAAAATAATAAAAGACTTTGTCAATACTAAACAAAACAATAAGCTAAAACCTGAAGGAAAAATTTACTGTAGTAATTGTCACGAAAATACACAGGAGAGATCTCAAGGTATCTAAATAAAAGATTATATGAACACAAAGAGGACATTTTATAAAATAATACATCAAATGCATTTGTTGCCCACTGTAAGATTTGTTGCCCACTTTCCATATATATATATATATATATATATATGGAAAGAAAGAAAGAAAGAAAGGGAGAAGGGGGGAAAGAAAAGAAAGAAAGAAAGAAGGGGGAAAGAAAAGAAAGCAGAAGAAAGATTATAGGGAGAAATTGGTAGAGGTGATAACAAAAAACAAAAGAGAGGCTTAAATCATCCAAATATGAAGATCATTGGAGGCCATTGAAATTTTGATCTCTGCCACCCATCCTTTGTTACTGTGAAGACGAAAGCTTCTTTTCGCCCGGTCCGCACCGAAATTTACTGACTGCGGTTTGAAATCTGTTTTATACTATATATGTATATTTAATGTTTTCTTACGCATACACAATTAATTCTCATGCATTTATCAATCACCATATATATATATTGTGTATGTGTGAAGGTATGGAGTAAGCGTGGACAGTACTCAGTAAATAAAAGCGTTGAATTATGTATATTGGTTTAGATATGCCTGGATTTTGTCGTATCAACGTAGATTAATGACTTCCCCGGTCAACTAACGTCGAGGCTCCATTCAGGCTAGAAATAACGATGGGTGTTTATTTCCGCGCGCATTATCGAAGAGCGTTGATCGCCTTATGAGTGAAAGTGTCGGGATTTTGTTGATTCTTCTTCCTTTCTTTCTCACACATCTTTCTTATGATTTTTTTTATTGATAGAAGGAATAAAATCTTGAAGGACTGCATTTTTTAAAAATATTTTTCAGGTTGGATATGTATTTCTTTTATTTTGTCTAAGAAAAAAAAATCTCCAAATCTTTGGAATAAATAGTGTACGTCAAAGCTTGGCGTAGTTATTCACGAAGCATAGCTAAGTTTTAGTACAAGGCACAAGTAAAGAGCACCCACTGAAGACCGAACATACTACTAACGATCTACAAGACCAACTTGCAGACCATTAGTCTGCGAGAGGATAACCTTCATTCCAACAGCGCCATTTATCCATGTTCGATCCCCATGGGTCCGTGCCAGATAACGACTGAGAAAATACATTATTTCATATCTTACGGCCACATCACGTTGAAACATCGGTTACCGCACGATCACCGAAGTTAAGCAACGTCGAGCCTGGCTAGTATATAGATGGCTGACCGCTTGGTAATACCAGGTGCTGTCAGCTAGATGTGAGGGATGCGTAATGGATAATGGCCCGGCATTGTAAATTGGAGAGCCAAGTTCCAGTTACGGTTTGGTACTCGAGAAATCTTGTCAAAAAAATATGCGTTCTCCGCTGGAGAACGCAGATTTATCAAATAAAATTTCTCGAATAATCATGCTGGTAGATATACTGGATAAAAAATACTGTTAAATTGAAAAATCAACCTTCTACTCGAATATTATATCCATTAAAAATAAGGTTTAAGAAAAAGAAATTAAAAACTCGGTGTCCACCGGAAATCAACCAACAAATACGACCTAATAAATTTCTGTTCTTATCATCGGATTCTACCGAAAAGCACTAAGAATATGCAGCCCAGATTATTTACACGAAGAGGAGAAATATATTGAAAACACTTTCGAATGCATTCGTTGCCCACTGTAACATAAAAATGCTACACTGATCAAAGGAGAAACAAATTCACCAGAGAGTAATTTAATCGCAATGTCATCTACATTAAATTTGCATCCTGGCTCTTACAACATTTCACCATTTCTGGCAGATCTTCTAATATCACAGTTTGGATTACTTACTTACAAAAGTGATGGAAAGTAAAAGAAAAAGTCTCTAAATGAATTCGGCTAGATTAAAAAAAAATTCTAAAATTCCCAGCATCCCTCTGTTGTGCGAATTTTTAGTCCGACCAACATAACAAATTTAGTCCGATGAAGTCCTGAAGAACGAAACGCGTCATGTATGTATGTATATATATAGAGCGTGCGATGGATAAATTGTCGTCTAGATTACGCAAAAATAAAAAAAAAAAACACTGACATTTCATTTTAACAGATATATTTAACAAAATTACACGAAAATATCTTGAAATACTAAAGAGTAGATTTATTCGGAATCTCCTGTACCTCTTCTGTGCGGTTTTCTTATTTAAGTTGGTGAATGTTGCCATAATCCTGGCCTTCAGTTCATCTTTAGTGTTACAAGGAGTTTTGTTACACTCTCTCTAAACTGCGTCCCAAACATAATAATCAAGGCAGTTGCAGTCTGGAGAGTTAGGTGGCCGGATGTAAGGGATGTTGTGGTCGCAGAAATTGTCTGACAGCCATCTTCTGCTTGTGTGGCTTGGTGCAGAATCGTGTTTCCAGACATAGGATTTTCCAGCAGCCACCCTCTTGATCCAGGGCAGCGCTACCTGCCCAAGACAATTGATGTAGGCCTCCGTGTTGAGTCTAAGAAGCTGTGGGAAGATGAATGGAGGCATAACGTCGCCATCATTTGTGATTACTCCAAACACCATTATGTTAACTGGATATATTATCCAACACTTTCCAAATCCACTACACTCAAACACTCTGAAATGTTCGTATTAGAGATTCTGGCCCGAATGTCAAGCAACACAGAATGACGTTTACAAATTTATTCCGGAATGAATTGAGTCAGGGTGTTTTTTTTCTCACAGACGGTGCCCAACTGACCCTGCTATACTGTGCAGTCAACAAAATCAAAAACAACACGCATGCGCGAAATGTTAAAAAAAATACAATGGCGACAATTTACCCATCGCACACATATAAATGTGTGTGTGTTTGTGTGTGTGTATGTGTGTATATATGTGTATGTGTATATGTGTGTGTATGTGTGTGTGCCTATATGTGATAGAGTTTCTACATTTTATTCCAATAACGCAAAGAAGCATGTCTGTGCGTGTTTATAGTATGAGTGAATAGAGGCTTAGGACTGTGATTTTATGTCTGCACATTTCCGTAGAGAAGAACCGTAAGTTTCTCTTCGTGTGCGCGCGCGTGTGTGTATGTGGGTGTACCTCTGTGTGTGTGTGGATTTATGTGTGTGTGCGCTGCCGATCCGCAGTCAAAAACATTTTTTTTTGAACGCTATCTAAATTGGCCCCCACGTGGATACCTGCCTATCTACCTAACAGTACAACGTGACCTTTGACATAATAGCAGGAAAAATAAAAGAGTGATCTCCCCGGCCCTAACCCCTTGACTAAAAGACGAAGAAGTGAGGTTAAGTTATGAAAGAAAATAAAGAAAAAGAAAAAGAAATCAAGCCAGAAATGAATATCGAAAGAAACAAGAAAAAAAGATGAGTAAAGAAATGAATAAAAAAATAAAGCAACAATAAAATGTGTAAAAGAAAAAAGAAAAGAAAAAAAATGAATGCAAAAATAACATTTGCTAGAGAAAGAAAAAAAAAAGGTAAAAGAATAGAATGATTTGGTGGAATGAAATCGGGAAGGAAGAAGAAAGGGAAAAAGTAAAGAAAGAAACGGCAAAAATGGAGGCTGTAAAGTTCTTCGGGAAACAAAGAGATATATCATTAATAATAAAATTAATTGTATATGATAACTACAGAATGAAAATAGTGTAATAATTTTTCACCGAAAAATAACACCTAAGCTACCTCATTATCGTGCAATGGTTAGAAACTTTTTCTCATAGATTATTACTAGGTATTTCGATCCTCACTAGGTGTCCCATAATGCTGGGTTTGTACCAAAACTAAGCCAGGTTTAATATATAATAAAGGGTGACTCATCGTGGTGTAATGGTTAACAAGCAATAAGCGCTTTACAAGGGAGTTCGATCCTCACTAGGTGTCCCATAATGCTGGCTTTGTACCAAAACTAAGGCAGGTTTAATGAATAATAAAGGGTGCCTCATCGTGATGTAATGGTTAACAAGCAATAAGATCATTATTACGGAGTTCGATCCTCAATAGGTGTCCAATAATGCTTGCTTTGTACCAAAACTAAGGCAGGTTTAATGAATAATAAAGGGTGCCTCATTGTGATGTAATGGTTAACAAGCAATAAGATCATTACTAGGGAGTTCGATCCTTACTAGGTGTTCTATAATGCTGGCTTTGTACCAAAACTAAGTTTGATAAATAATGAGGAGGTGGGGAGGCGTCATCGTTGTGTAATGGTAAGACAAGCAAGTAAATTATTACTAGGAACTCGATTTTCTGAAACTGAGATGCCAGGTCAGAACCGATCACGTTGCCGATTCTTCTTTGGATTTTGTCAAATATCTTTAGACAGATTTCGGAAACACTCGACCAAATACGGCAGCAATATTCGATACACACTGATGAATGAAACGAATACCATGGACAGAACATGTTAGCAATGCGGAAGTTTTAAGTAAAACAGGACCTACAAGGAAACATATACTTACACCCAGTTGAAATCTGTGAGACGCATAATGGGAAAAGAGGGATTGGAGAATTTAATACTCACAGTACATACTGAAGTTAAGAGAAGCAGGAGTAATAGCGAGCAATCTACTAAACGATTTTGTGTGTATGGATAGCATAGTAGTGAAAAAAGGAATGATAAAGATATTAAAAGTTAATCAGAGCAAAAAAGACAGTAAGTTGTGGAGAGCCATGATCTCCCACGTTCTAAAAGGACATGATGCATAAAAGCAAGAAGAATAATAATAGCAAAAAGAACCATAATATTAAAAATAAGTAAGAGGGCAAAATTGGACATATATGATAGAAAAGTTTATTATAATATTAAAAAAATAATAGTAATGGGAGGAATAGTGGCAGGAATAATGATGCTGCTGCTGATGATTATGATAGGGAAAGGATGATAAAAAATAAGAAGAGAAAAAGGAAATAATAATAATAATAATAATACTGACATAGCCATCTGAAAGAAACACCTCCATAAAATTTATCGAGAAATTGTCCACTTACAAGGACCTGGAGATTCAGATTAACAGGATGTGGAGAATGAAGACTGAGGTTGTACCAGTAGTAATCGGAGCTCTGAGAAAAGGAATGGACAATTTTACTAACAGTGTCCCAGGTAACATCAACATACAAGTTGCCCAGAAAATCGCCCTACTAGGAACATCCCATATACTAAGAAAGGTGCTGCGTGCTATCAATTAAATGGCAATTCTTCTAAAGGGCCTACGGACAACAGTTTGGACCCAGCTCTACAGGATACAAAGCAGGAAACATAAGACACAAATAATAATAATAATAATAATAATAATAATAATAACACAAGTGTTGCTATGATAAAGTAACCTCCCGTCTGCATGTAGGATATACGAACTTGAAATTGACGAGAAATGTTACCGCCACAAACCAGAGAAGGTGATTGAAAACGACCAAGTCAAGATTACATGGAATTTCAACATTCAAACAGACCGCACCCTTGATGCCCCCAAACAGATATCCCCGTCCTTGAAAAAAATAAAAAATAAAAAATAAAATACTTTCTTATCGATGGGGCTGATGGCCTGACCCGGGGTGGTAGCACCTGTTAAGGTCCCAGCTATGGATAATTAACCACCAAACTGGGGTCAAAACACTATGATAGTGCAAAATAGGTTTACCAGAAATACTTTGTAAAAAAAAAATTACCAGCAATACATTTTTGTAAAAGAAATATTACCAGTGAAGGAGAAAATTACCCGAAATAGATTTTTGAAGGAAAAATGTTACCAGAAAGATTTTTTGAATGAAAAAATACTACCAGAAATAGATTTTTGGAAAAATATTACCAAGAATGAACATTTTTACAGGTATTAGATAACTCATTGAGGACGATATGCCGTAAAACAAACCAAACCAAACCAAACCAAACCAATCTACCAGTACCAAACAAGCTGATGTAGACAAACCCTGTACACATCAGTGGTTACGTAGTGCAGGGTTAAAAACTGAAGCCGAAGGTTTTATTCTTGCTTTACAGGATCAATGCTTGGTAACTAGAAATTACCAAGCACACAGACCCGGTTAGAGAGATAGGACCTTTAACAATCTTATGGGACTTTACAATACACAGAAACAGAAGAATTAAGACTAATCGCCCAGACATCGTGATTAGAGACTGCAAAGACAAAATGTGCCTTCTTATTGACATGGCAAACTCTGCAGACTGCAATGTATCTTTGAAGATATTTAAAAACTATCAAAATACAAGGATCTTGAAATGGAAATCTCAAAAATATGGTACATGAGGACATCAACAATTCCAGTTCTTTCGGATTGATTGGAAAAGGTTCCAACAAAGTCATTGAAAGGATTCCTAGTAGCCCACGCTACTCACAAGTACCGCTCAGCTCACACATTACGACGAGCTACATCTATATAAAATGTGTGTGATCTTAATTTCTTTTTCTTACAAAAATGATCAGTGGAAAATTTCATGAAGCCATTTCAGACCTTATGTCTGTGGTTAGGACCCGGAAGGAAATGTGTATACAACAGAAATAAAAGGAAATAGTAATAATAATAGAAGTAATAACAATACTAATAATATTACTATTAATGAATAGTAGCTTGGTCAGAACGAAACAAGCGTACGATTAATCATACTAAAAATAATACTGAATAAACTGAAGTGAACAAAGAAGTGTTTTAAGTAGAAGACATTTAGTACAATTATTATCAGGCTCGGTATAGCAGTTATACTAATAGCAAAAGAAGAATGACACTTAATGATGTCGATGTTAATAATAATAATGATAATATCCATTGGTAGCGAAGAAGAAACAGTATTTATTACAGGAAAGAAATAAAACAATTCTGTTCAAGGAAAATAATAAAGCTGCGGTAATACGGGTATTGTTACTATTAGTTGGTATGATTGTTATTTAGACAGTATCAGAAGAATGCGACTGATGAAGATATGAAAAAAGAGGGAAGAAAAAAAGTAGAAAAAAGAGAGGAAAGGGTGAGCTGCTGGGGAAAAGGAGAAAAAAAGAGGCAGACGTTATTGATATGAAGGAGTAGTAGGAAAAAGAGAAGATGGAGGAGAAGGTGTTAAAGGAGGCGGCGCAGAAGTTTTACAAAAACGAGAATACAAAGAGGACAGAGAAATAGAGGAAGAAAACAAAATGACGAAAGAAAACAGAGTATGAAGTATGAACAGACAATAAAGAGGAGGAAATGAAATGAAAATGAAGTAAAGAAAGAGAAAGAAGAAGAAAAAAACGAGCAAAAAGGGAAGTTAATCAGGAGTAGATGAAGAAAAAAGAAAGAAATAAAGAAATGGAATAGAAGATGATAAAGAAGATAAGAAAAAGGAAATCTTTCACGAAGAAAGACGTGCACACACGCGCAAACATACACATACGAAACGAGCGTCGATTCAATTGATCATTGTTCTCTGTCTCAATCATTGAGTGTTGCTAGATTCAACAAAATTATCGATCTGCGCACTGCACGAGTCCCTTCCCATGATGCAAGTCGGCTCCTTCCGAACGACCAGTATGAAGGTCATGGCTGGTACGACTTTTTTTGCTGCTCTCTTTCGGTAAATGTCACGATTTTACGTTGCCAGGCTGAAATAGCATAGCGACCCACATTGCTGCTTCAATTAACGTGGCTGCCCCACAGCGCTAGCCCAATTCTGACTGGCAACTCTTTTGTCCAACGTCTCTTTTCGTGAAAATCTTTGCAAGAAAAAAAAAAAAAACAACTTTTTCTAAAAGATCTAGAAAAGAGAAGAAAAGATTTCTTCTCTTTTCTAGAAAGGAAGGAAAAAAGATAAAGAATATAAATTGAATGGGCGTAGAAGGAGAAAAACGAAAGAAAGAAAGATATAGAGTGAGAAGAGAAAAAGATAAAGAAGTTAGGAGTGAATAAAGAGTGGCAAAGCAAAAAAAAAAAAAAAAAAAGAATAGATGCGAGCGTTAGAAAGATCGAGAGAAGGAATTAAAGTTTGAGAGAGGGAGAGAGAATAAGGGAGAAGGAGAGAGAAAGAGAAATGAAGTACAGAATTAATCAGAGAAGGAAAAGGAAAATAAAGAGAATTAACTGTAATTAATAAAATAAAGAAAGAAGAAGAAAAAGTTGAAGAGAGGGAGAGAATGAAAATAAAATAAAGGGAATGATGAGTAATATATAAAGATGAAAGAGATTTAGAGATAAAACAAAATGGAAAAACGTGACAGAAGACGAAGAAAAAAGATTAAAAGAAGAGAATGAAGAAGAAAAAGAAAAAAGAAGAAAAAGAAAACAATAATAATTATAACAAGAAAATGAATAAGAAACAATAACAGAGCTACTCAAAATCGTGAGAGCTCTCCTTTTCCTCAAGACTTTATCATTCTCCGTCATTGGCATTCTCAGAATTTTTCCGTAGAATCACATCTCTGTTGACTCAAGTCTCCTCTTCATATGTCCGAAGATTGTCCAGCATTCGCTGTCATATCAGAGGTTTGATAAGAGTATTTATATAGAAGTTCAACACTCTTTTCTTTCTTTCTAACAGAATGTCCATCTTTCATAATATTTCGGTTAGAATTTGGAACGCATAATTCGCTATTCCAATGTGTCATCATGAATATTTTGGAATTAACAATGTAGTGGCTTCCTATTGCCTTCTCCACGGTGATTTTATTGAGTCACTGTGACAAATAACAAAGCAACACTTATTTGGCGATTTAAGTTTTATTCATCATAATATATACAATGAGTTAATATGAGTGTAGGGTGGATATTTTATTTTATTCATGAAGAGTAAAATAAATGGTTAAGGGGAAATAAATTTTACTGATAATTATAATAATATAATGATAAAATTAGAACTCAATAATTTTAATTTTTATACCTTTACTATTTTTATTACAAACACCTTATTGAATCATCAATAGTTCATTAGAAAGAAACAACTGAAATGGCTAGGATACATAATGAGGAAAGAGGGCTTGGAGAATTTAACACTCACAGAATATACTGTGATAGAAAGAGAGGCAGAGAAAATAGCGAATAGCCTGCCTACCTAACGAGCCTTTGCAAATGGCTGGCAGAAAAAGGGGGAGATAGCAAAAAGACAAACCTTACTAAGGGATACAAAGGGCAGGAACTTGTGGGGAGCCATGGTCATCCACGTTCTGAAAGGTCACGGCGCATAGAAGAAGAAGAAGAAGAAGAAGAAGAAGAAGAAGGTGTCATCAGATTTCACGTTTTCCGTCGTCTGTTGAATCACTTTTGGGTCAAATTGCTGTACGTGTTTAATTTTGACATCTCCAATTCATAGCTCCCATTTTGGGCTGATACTCTTGCTAACAGCCACGAATTTTGTCTTCTTGCAATTGATAGTTAGTCCTTTCTTCTTGCTTAAAAAGCGAAATGAGATCTCCAGAACAGGAGGAATGTATCAAAACACAGAAAAGAAACAAATGACGTTATGGTGACAAAAGAGACGACGCGTCATTAAATATCTGTCTATATTTCTGAGTTGAGGTATTGCAACTATTTACCCTATTTACATTGTTTGTTCACGGAGGATTAATGGATAACGGCTCGGACTGAGGAATCAGAGAACCAAGTTCGAATTCCAGTCGAATCCATTACAGGCTATTTAAGAACATGAATCAAATTTTCAGGTTGATGTTTTGGTTTCGTATCAATTTGCTACTAGCTTTGACATAGTCTATTCTATGTTCAGTTTCTTTTTCTCCTATACTTAATTTGTTGTATCTGATCCATACGCCGAGCTATGTGAAATATTTAGTATCAAAGTGTTGCTTTGAATATTGCTGCCACATATGTGCTCCCGTTATATATTTAGAAATTCTTGATAAAATTCAAAGAAGAATCTGCAATGTTATTGATCCTGACATGGCATCTCGGCTTCAGTCCCTTTCTCATTGCCGTAATGTAACTGTCTTTTCTGTGTCTTAGTTCCATGGTATGGTTCTGATGAACTTTCCTCTATGAGACCTTGACATAATGAATTAAAGCGAACTAATAGAGTGGCGACAAGATCTCATCATTTTACAGTTGAAATGACTGGATGTAACCGTAAGTTCTATGCTAACAGTTTCTTCTATCGCCCATCTCACTTTTGAAACTCTCTTCCAGGTTTTTGCCTCCCAAAAATTTAAATGCAATGCCAACCGTTATCTTCTGTTTTATTATTATTTTATTGTCTACTCTCCTTAATAGTAGTTTTTCTCATATTCTGTAACACTCCGTGACCAATTGCGCCCTATTGGCTTTATTGCCTTGCTTAGGATGAAATGATTAAAAATACTTTTCTAATTCCACATCTTGTATTTTTATGTTGGATTCAGGGTAGGTGCCATCACTGCTTTTATTCCCATCATAGTTTCTGTTCTTGAAACGTTTATCTTGTATCTCATTTCTTGGAACACTTGATAGAGGATGCTGATTTTCTGTTAATTTCATCAATGTCTACGCGTTGCTGCGATAGGGTCATACAGCTGTGGTTTTAAAGAAGTCTCGATTCGTTTTATTCGTTAAAGTAAAATTTCAGACTATTGATAGCATATCCATTGCAGTCCAATCTTTGTTAATGGAGATGTTTACATCATTTTTAGTAAAAAAAAATAACTTAGCAAAAACTTGTAAAGCATAAAAAAAACAAGACCAGAAACAACGATGCAACCAAAATTTTTTCTTATTACTCTAAACGTTATCATTACTGAGTACTCGTGTCTGATTTGAGATTCCTGTTTTTTTTTTACACAGTGAAATTAATATCTACCGGCCTAGAGACTGAAAGTCCAATTTAAAACAATGTGTTTCTCGACATAAAAAAAATGTATTCTATTTCCTATCTAAGAAACTGCCTTCAAGTTAGGCGTGCTTTACCATAAAGCTACATGAATATAGGAAAGCAAGGCTTAATTACCCTATTTAAGAAATGCATATCCCTTGGATAGCGGCTGAAATTGAGGAATCGGAGAGCCGAGTTCGAATTCCAGTTGAATCCATCACATTCACTTCCGTGCTAACACCCTTGGGAAAGGTATAAATCCTCTTCTTCTCTCCCCAGCTATGGGTAAATTGCAGGACAGACCTGGTTCTGTAGTCTTGTATGGCAATGGTCTACCGTAGCAAGAAATGACAACCTACTGCAGGAAAAAAAAATCTGCATCGTCAGTCATGTATCGAAAGATACATGATCGCGTAAACGTGTATCACGAATGGCATATAACTGACTGATATCTCTCGTTGGGACCTTTTGTCGTCCATGTAACTTAATTTGCTTTAATAATACTTTTGTTCTCTCTACCGTTTAAAAAAGTATGTCTACTCAAATGCGTGTCATTAATGAATATAATGTTTACAGTCATAATAAATAATGTCGGATTAAAACAATAATAACGGTGGAGTAATGGATAGCGGATCAGATTGAGGAATCGGAGAGACGAGTTCGAATTCCAATCGAATCCATTACATTCACTTACGTGCTAATACCTTTGGGAAAGGTATGACTCCTCTTCTCCCCTCATGGGTAAATAGCAGGACAGTCCGGGTTCTATACTCTTTGTTGGGAACTGGTCTACCGCAGAAATAAATGGCAACCTACTGCGGGAAAAAAAATCTGCTTCGTCATTCATGATCGAAAGATACATGATCGCCTACACGTGTATCATGCATGGCACATAACTGACTGAATCCGTTAATTGCTTAAAAGTGACTAAAACTGAGTGGGAAAACAATTTGGATTCAACTATCTAAATAGAGATGAGAAATAAAAAATAAACCTTTTGAGACTTTTGAGATTGGTACACATCCAAGTAACAAGACTGGATTTGAAGGCTGAGAACCCAGGAAATACAGTCTGCCAGGTGATACTAACAGACCAATTCCCTCGCCCCCTCCTCTCTACTGAAAAAACAAAACAAACTAAAAGAAAAAATATGTAATATCTACAATAATTGTCGCACTTGAAACCTGGCCGCACAAAATAATAATTGAACCTCTAACAACTTTATGGAACTTCAAAATACACACATACATAACAATCAAAGCTAATCGCCCAGCCATAGTGATCAAAGACCACAAAATAGAAGGGATTTTCTTATTGATATGGCAGTTTCTGCAGACAGTCATGTATCTTTGAAGATCTTTAAAAACAAACAAACAAAAATACAGCGAAACACAAGGATCATCAAGTGGAAATCCCAAAATTGTGTGACATGAAAACATCAATAATTCCAGTTGTATTTTTCCTCGGTTTGATTGGAATGATAGACATTGAAGAGATCCCTGGTAGCTCATGTCTTAAAGAAATACAAAACAATGTTCTCAAAAGTACAGCTCACTCCTTACGAAAGGCTTTATCACTATAAAATATGTGTACTCATAGGCTGTTTTATATTTATTTGTTTACAAATATGTTCTGTGAAAAGGTCATGATGCCATTTCTGACCTTAGGCCTCTGGTTGGGACCCGGCAGGAAATGAGTATAAATCAAAGGAGACAATAATAATAATAATAATAATAATAATAATAATAATAATAATAATAGTTCAACTAGAACTGTCCTACAAAACTACAACAATTGGCCTCCAAAGATATTTGGAAACTACAGAAGACTGGATGATGGTATGCGTCAAGGAACATGAAAGTAGTAAGCGTCTCTACTCCGTAATGAAAGAAGCCAACAAATTCAAAATGGAGTTCCAAATGGGCATAGAGATGCAACTACAGCACAATACACCGGCTGAAACTGCAAAATACCTAAAAAAGATAGCTAAGACGAATGCAACAGACCAGTTACAGAAGCGATGGCAAGATAAACCGCTTCATGGCCAATACTCTGCCCGTACCAAACAAGCTGACGTAGACAAAACCCGCACCCATCAGTGGCTACGTAGTGCAGGGTTGAAAGCGGAAACTGAAGGTTTTATCCTTGCTGCGCAGGACCAATGCTTGCTAACTAGGAATTATCAAGCACATATACTAAAATATTGTGTCAGCCCAAAATGCAGATTCTGTGATAAATATCCAGAAACGATTGATCATCTTGTATTAGGTTGTACGGTGTTGGCACCCACTGAATATAAAACCCGACATGACAGAGTGGGCCAATATCTGCACTGGAAAATCTGCAACTTCTACGGGAAGAAAACTGAAAGAAACTGGTATGAACACCACCCAGACCCGGTTACGGAGATAGGACCTGTTAAAATTCTATGGGATTACACAATACACACTGACAGAACAATCAAGGCCAACCGGCCAGATATTGTTATTAAAGACCACAAACAAAAACGGTGCCTCCTTGTTGATATGGCAGTCCCTGCTGACTGCAATGTATCTTTGAAGATATTCAAAAAACTGTCAAAATACAAGAACCTTGAAATAGAAATCTCGAAAATGTGGCATATGGGAACATCAACAATCCCTGTTGTAGTTGGAGCCCTAGGACTGGTTGGGAAAGATTGCAGTAGACTAATTGAAGGGGTTTCTGGAAGTCCATGCCCCAAGGAGATACAAAAAATTGTTCTGACAAGTACAGCGCACACTTTACGAAAGGCTTTATCTATGTAATTATTTATTTTTTTTTTTTGTCAGTGGAAAGTGTCATGATGCCATTTCTGACCTTAGGTCCCTGGGCGGGACCCGGAAAGTAATGTGTAAACGCTAGAAATCAAAGAAAATAAATAAATAAATAAATAAATAAATAAATAATAATAATAATAATAAGTGCCACACGTGTTACACGCTTGGCCGATCATGTGTCTTTCGATATATGACTGCCGAGGTAGAAATTTTTTCTTGCAGTAGGTTGCTATTTCTTTCTGCGGTAGACTGACTGGTTGCCAACCAAAGCTAAAGAATCCAATCTGTCTTGCTATATCTGGGATGAGAAGAGATGGATCCATGCCTTTCTCAAGAGTATTTGTGCATGAATATGACGAACTCGACTGGGATTCGAACTCGGCTCTCCGAGTTCTTATAATAATAATAATGAAAACAATAATAATAATAATAATATAAATTTGGCAAACATACTGAAGAGTGCCTGAACTTTAGGAAGACATGATTCTCACTGATATCTGCCAGCTTCTATTTGTGTGAAAATTCGTGTAATAATAATGCGAAGACGTTAGTTCTGCTTGCGTGGATGATGATGATGATGATGATGATGATGATGATAATGGTGATGATGAAATTGATTAACTTGTTTTTTACGATTTATCGACCTTTTGTAGGTTATTTAAAGTCGAAACATATTTTAGATTCTTTGCGAAATTTTTATAATATACAAGTCATAATATTTAATCTGTAGTTTGGAGATGGATTCATGCCTTTCCCAAGGGTATTTGCGTATAAGTGAATGTAATAAACCAGATTGGAATTCGACGTCGGCTCTCTGATTTCTCATTCCAATCTGAGCGAGGAGAAAGAAATGAAAACTGCTGTTGAAGGGAAAAATTAGAGAGAGAGAGAGAGAGAGAGAGAGAGAGAGAGAGAGAGAGAGAGAGTAAAAAAAAGAGCCAGGTATTCCTGAAAAGAGACTAAAAATAATGTAATTTTCAATTCAAAAGTAAGAAATCACACACCCAAACATGCATAAATACACACACACACACACACATATATATATATATATGTATAATGACTAACGATAAACAGCAACAAGACGAGGCAATAACATTAAATGAAATTACAAATAAAAAATACACAAGAACTGTTCGCCCTAAGTTTCTTTTGATCAGGAAGTAACTAAAGCAGGGAATATAAAAAAAAAATGTCGTAAGAAAAAAAAAATCGCAAGGAAAAGAAAAACGAACAAAAAACAACGAAAAAATTTTCATAAATACAGCACAGTTCAGGTTTTGCTTGTTACCTAAAGTTTTCTAATTACCAAGACGCTTCTATATTTTGCACTTAACGATACGCCACTAATTGGTTGTAGGTTTTTCGTCTTGGATATTCTTCTGATTGCAAAATGGACGATGTTTTTCGTGGGTTTGCTTTCATTTAAAAAAAAAAAAAAGAAGATAAAAAAAAGAAAAGACGGGGTAAATTTTGCAAATCTTTCTCTACATCCGGGTCACACTTTATGTGTTCCCAGATATTTTCTTGAAAAATCTGGCTGATTGAAAAAAGAATGAAAGAAAAAGAAGAAAATATGACTGAACGACCGAGATACGAGTTATTTGAGAATGTTTTCAGTTGTCATATTTAGGACAAATACCAAATGATGACGCAAGGGAAGAGAAGAGCAGAATATGAGGTAGACAGAAAAATTACCCTAAGTGTTGTAAACAGACTGGATTTAGTCATTGATATTAACATTATCTTGTATTATATTGGCGTCTCAGATTGATGTAGTCAATGGAAATTCTGTTCTGGAGGCATTTTGGCATCAAATCTCTTTGCAACTATAGAACCTTTCGGAAAACCTTGTACAAAAAAGGTTGTCAATTTTCTGGAAGTCTACAAACTTAGTCTCAGTTCCAATTTTATTTAAGCGCTCTTTCAAACTTCTAGGTTGGGTAGCAATGAGCAGGAACAAGCCCAACAGTCATGTTTCAACTCCTTAGTCAGATTCAAACTTTTCAGTTTTTTTTTGGTGTCCACTCTTGCATCGTATGGAACAGCAAGATCAATAATTCGACACTTGCTACTTTCCTTCGCTATTACAATAAGGTCGGGTCTCTGTGCTTCAGTGACATCATTTGTCTGGATAGAGTAATCAGATAATATCTTGTGACTGTCATTTTTATTCCCATTGCTTTTGGTTTATATTCCTACCATTTCTTTTCTCCATTAAATCTAAATTTACGGGAGACTTCCAAATGTATTCTGTGATGTCTTCAGTTATACTTTTCCTGTGCCAATTTGGAACATTCACCGAGTATAATGCTAACTGTGTCATCAGCTTGTCCACGCATCCTGCATTTGCTTTCTTTTTTGCGATGTGCATTATTATTATTATTATTATTATTATTATTATTATTATTATTATTTACTTTGATTTTTGTTGTATACTTATTTCCTTCTGGGTCCCAACCAGAGACTTAAGGTCAGAAATGGCATCATGACATTTTCACTGAACATTTTTTAACCTAAGAGCATACACATTTTACATTGAGTGAGTTGTACTTGTGAGAATCCCTTTAATGAGTCTATTAGAACCTTTTCCCAATCAAGCCGAGGTTTCCAATCACAACTGGAATTATTGATGTCTTCATGTGCCACATTTTTGAGATGTTTACTTAAAGATCCTTGCATGTTCATAGTTTTTGAGGATCTTCAAAAATACATTACAGTCAGCAGGAACGCCCAAGTCAATAAGAAAGCACGTTCTGTTCTTGTGGTTTTTGATCACGACATTTTTGTTTGGTCGATTAGCTTTGATTGTTATGTGTGTATTGTAAAGTTCCATAAAACTGTTACAGGTCGTATGTGTGGTGTTCGTTTCAATTTCTTACAGTTTCCTTTCCGCAAAAGCTTCAGATTTTCCAATGCAGGTATTGTCATGTCGGATTTATATTCGATGCATGCTAATACTGTGCAACCTGATACAAGATGCTCAATTGCTTCTTGATTTTCATCACAGAATTTGCATTTCTCAATCACAAACTTGTGTACCAGAAGCTATGAGGACATAGCTACTATAATATAGTTATATCTATATAGTTATAAGGATATAGCTATAATAATATAGCTATAAGGATATAACTATAATAATATAGGTTTAAAGATATAGCTATAATGACATAGCTTAATGATATGGTTATAGCAGTAGCTACTCCGGGGGTCGGGTTTGTCGAGCTCAGCCCATGCGTTATATCTATATAGTTATAAGGATATAGCTATAATAATATAGCTATAAGGATATAACTATAATAATATAGGTTTAAAGATATAGCTATAATGACATAGCTTAATGATATGGTTATAGCAGTAGCTACTCTCGGGGTCGGGCTTGTCGAGCTCAGCCCATGCGTTATATCTATATAGTTATAAGGATATAGCTATAATAATATAGCTATAAGGATATAACTATAATAATATAGGTTTAAAGATATAGCTATAATGACATAGCTTAATGATATGGTTATAGCAGTAGCTACCCGGGGTCGGGCTTGTCGAGCTCAGCCCATGCGTTATATCTATATAGTTATAAGGATATAGCTATAATAATATAGCTATAAGGATATAACTATAATAATATAGGTTTAAAGATATAGCTATAATGACATAGCTTAATGATATGGTTATAGCAGTAGCTACTCCGGGGTCGGGCTTGTCGAGCTCAGCCCATGCGTTATATCTATATAGTTATAAGGATATAGCTATAATAATATAGCTATAAGGATATAACTATAATAATATAGGTTTAAAGATATAGCTATAATGACATAGCTTAATGATATGGTTATAGCAGTAGCTACTCCGGGGGTCGGGCTTGTCGAGCTCAGCCCATGCGTTATATCTATATAGTTATAAGGATATAGCTATAATAATATAGCTATAAGGATATAACTATAATAATATAGGTTTAAAGATATAGTTATAATGACATAGCTTAATGATATGGTTATAGCAGTAGCTACTCCGGGGGTCGGGCTTGTCGAGCTCAGCCCATGCGAGTCACCATTCAAGCATATCTATTTCAAAGCAACAAAAATCTTTCGTAGGGCGTTGTTTTCATTCTTGACTTCAACTTTAACTCCATGCCTCAAAATATTGACCGAATACATTTCGTTGACATTGTTCATAATAAAGAAGAAAGAAAAAAGAAAACAAAGAAAGAAAAAGAATGAAATAAAATTAACGTTGCTAGTCGGGCTGCGTAGATCTGAGCCCTTTTGAAGCTGGAGGCATACTTAATAGGCAATGTATTTCTTGCTTTAATTTTATAAATAATTTGAAAAAAAAATTCTAATTACTTGTAGGTCTTGTTTTTCAAAGAACACATTTTTATTTCAACTTATAATTTTCAAATGCCCCTTTTTGATATTTTAGCTATAAGGATATAACTATAGTTATAGAGATATATGGATATAACTATGATAATATAGCCATAAAGATATAGCTACACTAATATAATTATATGTATATATCTGAAAGGGTATAGCTATAATAATATATTAAAATGTAGCTATAAGGCATTAACTAAAATACTAAGGAGAAAAATGTATTGAGAATATTGGCTGTCATTTTAACTTCAGTATAATCCATTAAAAGTTCGAAGATGTTAGAAGAACTACTGGTTCGAACACTCAGTGAGGAAAATATAATAATCAATCCTCAAAAGTGGAATGAACCAATATGCAGAAATATAAACTATGAGAATCACAGATATGTCAAACATGAATAAAAGAATTTGGAGATTTTAGAGTACTTGCTCATCGACGGGAAACATAAAATCAAAAGAGGGAACGTTTATCATAGAGAAAGAAAAATACTTTAAAGAGGGAACAAATTTATCGGAGAGCTCTTCCACGACGAAAGAGGAAAACCTGCAGAAATATTAGTCTGAAGTGAAATCAGCATTGGCCAAATTGAACAGGAAGAAAGTGGTAGGAGCAGATGGAATTGTAATGGCCCATGCTGGCAGCCTTTCGGCTTTGATAAAATTGCAGACAATAAATAAAATACAGAACCGTGGTGATATACCAGAAGACCTAAATAGATCCATTTTCATAGCTAGGTGGCGAACTCCACCGGAAAATAAGCCACATAACAAAACTTATGATTCGAATTCTGATGAATATCTCGCGGAGCGGAATTAGCCAAGAAATAGAACGAGAATAGTGTGGTTTCGTTAAAGACACTGGAACAAGAAATGTAATATTTATGCTCAGGATGATAACAGAAAAAGTAGTACAAAAAGAAAAGGATGTATACCTATGTTTTATAGATTATGCCAAAGTGTTTGATAAAATGCACCACCAAGCACTGTTTGAACTGATAGGTAAGCTTGATTTATTTGGGTACTATATTGGAATAATCCACAAGTTATAATGGACGCAAAACACCAGCATATTGAGAGAAAATGAGTTAAGAAAATAAGTTCAGAAAATGAGTTTCACAAAAATAGAAAAGGTCATACAACAAGGATGAGTCTTCTCACCGGACTTCTTCACTCTTTAGAGCGAGGCGATTCTGAGAGAATTCGATATTCTACCAAGGTTCATTATTTGCATTCACAATCTTAACAGTGTTGATAGAAGACACCGAAAGGAAAGTACAAAAACTCTCTCAAATAGGCAATGAAAATGTTGTGGTGTCCTCCCTATAAAGAGTCTATGTTGGACTCTTCCGCCTACTATAAGATTAGTAGGAGAGAAGGCCTTGGGGGAACAGTCGAATAGATTGAACGCTGGGTCAACCGACACACACTCACTAGTCGTGTAATACTCTTCTGTTGTACTTACTGTTTAATGTATGATATATTTGCAACACTTGTTTTGTTATTTCTTTAACCATTTACTTGGTCACAACAGAAAGAAAGCTAGAAGAAAGGACTAAACATCAATTTTAAGAAG